GAAACAAAGCAAACCATCTATAATGATAAAAGGGTCAATTCAGCAGCAAGATACAAGAATTATAAATATATGTACACTTAAACTATTTTGAAATACACGAAACTACAATTTATGGAATTGAAGGGAGAGAATTCAACAAAAGTAGTTGGAGACTTACGTACTCTAATGTCAACAACTGATGGAACAACTGGACAAAAAATCAGCAAGTGTGTGGAAGACTTGAATAACAGTATCAGCCTGACCTAATGGACACACAGCTCACTCCACTCAAGAACAGAATATACATTCTTTTCAAGCAAACATGGAACATTCTCCAGGATAGACCATATATTAGGTCATATAATAAGTGTTAATAAATTTTAAAGGATTAAAATAATAAAAATCATGTTTTCTGACTAAATGGAATTAAATTAGAAATCCACGACAATAGTTAATATGGGAAATCCACAGATATTTGGAAATTTCTAAATAACCCTTTGGTTAAAGAAGAAATTATGAGGGAAATTAGAAAATATTTTGGGGCACCTGGGTGGCTCAGATGGTTAAGTGTCTGCCTTCGGCTTGGGTCATGATCCCAGGGTTCTGGGATCGAGCCCCACATCAGGCTCCTGGCTCAGCGGGGAGCCTGCTTCTCCCTCTCCCTCTGCCTCTCCCCCTGCTCATGGTCTCTCTCTCTCTTTCTCTCTCTCTCTGTATCTCTGTGTCTCAAATGAATAAATAAAATCTTTAAAAAATTGAAATTGCTTTAAAAAAAGAAAATTTTAATATGTTTTTATTTATATTCACTTCAAAATATTAAAATCTGTGCTAGCAGGGCCGCTTGGGTGGTTCAGTCGGTTTAAGTGTCTACCTTTGGTCAGGTCATGATCTCAGGGTCCTGGGATCAAGCCCCATGTCGGTCTCTCTGCTTGTTGGGGAGCCTGCTTCTCTCTCTCTGCCTCTCTGCCGCTCCGCCTGCTTGTGCATGCCTGCTCTTTCTGTCACATAAATACAATCTTTAAAAAAATTAAAAAAAAAAATCTATGCTAGCAGCTGAAGCAGTGCTTAGAAGAAATGTCTATTTTCGGGTGCCTGGCTGGGTCAGTCAGTGGATCGTGTGACTCTTGATCTTGGGGTTTTAAGTTTGAGCCCCATGTTGGGTTTAGAAATCACTTAAAATATTAAAAAAAAACAAAAGAAGAAATGTCTATCTTCAGGTGTTTATATTAAAAAGAAAGGTCTCAATAATCTAAGCTCTCACCATAAAAATCTAGGAAAAAATAAATGAAGCCAAAGATAAGCAGTAGAAGGAAATAATAGGGTGGAAATTAATGAAATAGTGAACAGAAAAATGATAGAGAAAAACAGTAAAACTAAAGTTCGTTCTTTGAGCAGCGCCTTGGTGGCTCAGTCAGTTAAGCATCCAACTCTTGATTTCGGCTCAGGTCATGATCTCAGGGTCGTAAGATCAAGTCCCATGTGGGCTCCATGCTGAACGTCGAGCCTGCTTAGGATTCTCTCCCTCTGCCCCTCCTCCCTGCTCTCATTGTCTCTTAAAAAAAAAAAAAGTTCTTTGAAAAGAGCAACACAATTGGCACACCTGTAGGTAGACTAAGAAAAAAAGAAGACACAGATCACTAAAATTGAGGGAAGGGCACCTAAGCAGTTTAATTAGTTAAGCGTCCATCTCTTGATTTCGGCTTAGATCATGATCTCAAGGTCTTGGGGTCCAACCTTGCACTGGGCTCTGTTCAGCATGGAGTCTGCTTGAGATTCTCTCTCTCCCTCTGCACCTCTCCTCCTCCTGCTCATGTGCTCCCTCTCTCTCTAAATCAATAAATAAAATCTTAAAAAAAAAGGAATGAAAGAAGGGAGGTTACTGCTGACCTTCAGATATTAAATGATTACAGTAGAATACTCTGAACAACTTTATGCCAACTTAATGTAGATGAAGTGAACAAATTTTAGAACATATATTACCAGAATTGACTCAGAGGAAGTATAAAACTTGAACAGACCTATGAAAGGGAAAGAAATTGAGTAAGTAATAATATTCCTACAAAGAAAGGCAGAGACCCAGATGGCTTAACTGGTAAATTTTATTAAATGATAAGAAATAATCCTAGTATTCACAAATTCTTCCCTGAAGAATTTTCAAAACCAGAAGTTGAAGATACCACATGAATAGAAAAACAGACCAGTATTCTTCAAGAATATAGTTGCAAATTCCCTGTACAGAATATTAGCAAAGCAAATTCAAAGGTATATTTAAAAGGTTATCACTGTGATCGTATGAGATTTATCCCAAGAGTAACCAGATTTAACATCCAAAAATCAATTAATGTAATATACCATATTAATAGAATAAAAAGCTGAAACCAGTCATGCCAATAAACATAGAAAAGGCATTTGACAAAATTCCATACCCATTGATGATTAAAAGTCTTAACAAATAGCAGTAAACTTCCTCAACTTGACAGAAGATTTCTATGAAAAACTATAAGGGAATATCATAGTTACTGGTGAAAGACTGAATGCTTTTCCCCTACAAGTAGGAACAAGACAAGGATGTTCACTTTTCCCTCTTCAGTTCAACACAGTACTGCAGATTCTAGCTAATATTGCCGGGGAAGAAAAGGAAACATAAGATACCCTGATTTGAAAGAAAACATTAAACTGTATTTGCAGATGATGTCATCCCATATGTACTAAATTTTAAGGAATCCTAAAAAAATTAGAACTAATAGTTGTTCAGCTGGACCACAGAATAAAATATCAGTATAAAAAAGTAGTCTTTCTAAACATGAACAATATACAGTCTAAAAATAAGATTCTGTTCAGAATAACATCAAAAAGAATAAAATATTTAAGGAATATAATAAAGTGCCAGAACATTACAAAAATTTGCTGAGGGAAATAAGATATAAATAAATGCAGAGACACTTTGTTCATAGATTGGATGACTTAATATTGTAAGATGATAATTCTCCTGAAATTGATTTATAGATTCAACTCAATCTGTGTAAAAATTCCAGCAGGCTTTTTTCCGGGAAATGATAAGCTGATCCGAAAATTTATGTGGAAATGCTAAAGGATAGGAATTGCCAAAACAGTTTTATAAAAGAACAAAGTTGGAGGGTTTTTTCTACTGAATTTCAAAATTTTAAAGCTACAGTTAGTTATGGGCGCCTGGCTGGCTCAGTCAGTAGAGCATGCGAGTCTTGGTCTTGTCCCACGTTGGGTGTAGAAATTAACTTAGAAACAAAATCTTAAGGGCGTCTGGGTGGCTCAGTTGGTTAAGCATCTGACTCTTGATTTCAGCTCAGGTCATGATCTCGGGGTCACAAGCCCTGTGTCAGGCTCCTTGTTCGGCAGGGAATCTGCTTGAGATTCTCTCTCCCTCTCCCTCTGTCTGCTATCCCCCCTCAAATAAATTAATTAATTAATTAAATATTTTAAAAATAAATAAATGAAATCTTTATTAAAAAAAGCTACAGTTATACAAGACATTATTGTGCTGGCAGGAGGTAGACATATATAGATCACTTGATTAGGATTATGAATCCAGTTTTCAACAAGGGTGCTGAAGCAGTTCATTAGAGAAAAAGTTTGTTTTCATTTCATGCTGGGACAACTGGATGCATCTCCATCCACATGCCAAAAGATGAACTTTGACCTCTTCTTCACCCTATACAGAAAAAATAACTTAAAATTGATCATAGACATAAATATAAGACTGAAACAAAGCTACAAAAAAAAGGAAAAATCTTTAAGACCTTGAATAAGGCAAACTTTTTTATGAGGTTATAAGAGAAAAAAAGATAAATTGGACCTTATCAAAATCCAAAACTTCTGTGCTTCAAAATATACTGTTAAGAAAATAATAAAGACAAGCAACAGAATGGTTAAAAATATTTGTAAAACTTTTTTTTTTAATTGTATTTTTTTAATTTTTGAAGAACTCATGTAAAGGAACTGGAACCATCATGTATTGCTGGTGGGAATGTAAAATGGTACAGTCAGCAGTTTGTCAGTTTCTTAAAAACACAAAGTTACCACATGATGCAGTAATTAACACTTCTTAGATATCTACCTGAGACCCAAATACATGTCCTCACAAAGACTTGAATGTGATTGTTCATAGCAGCATTAATTTTCATAATCAAAAAGTGGAAACATATCCTTCACCTGGTGAGTGGGTTGACAAAATGTGGTGATTCCATACAATAGGTACTATTCAGCAATAGAAAGGAATGAATTATTGACATGTGTTAAAACATGGATGAACTTCAAAAACTGTATGTGAAGTGCAAGAAGCTATACATAGAAGCCATGTATTGTGTGACTGCATTTATATCGGATGTCCAGAAAGGGTAAATTTATAAAGAAAGTTAGATGTAGTGATTGCCTAGGGCAATGAGTGGTAAATGGGCATGAGGGATCTTATTGGGATGAGGAAACTGTTCTAAAACTGATTTATAGAGATGGTTGCATCACTGGGTAAAGTTACTAAAAGTCACTGAATTGTATACTTAACAGTGAGTTGGTTTTATTATATGTTAAATGTGTCTCAAGAAAGTATTTTTCAAAAGCAAATGCAGGAAATTACATAGCATTATCTTTAACCAGAAGCCTAAAATGTTTATATTACCTTTTTTTTATATAAGGTCATCTAAAATGTAAGAATACATTTTAAAATTTGCAGTTACTTTGAATGTTTAATACTCTGGTTTTAATGCCATGATCACTGGAAATACCAGTAGAACTCCTTTTCAGACCGACATTGCCATATGTGTATAAACTTTTTATGCAACTGTATTTCCTAGATTCAAAACAGAAAACCCACTATATCTTTCTTGTTTTTGAAAATCATAGCACTTAGTTTTCTGCTGTTACAGGTTTGATATTGTCCCTGAAACCTTTGATGAAGACACTAAAACCATTTAAAATGAGCTTTGCTTTCTGTTTCTTCGTTTACTACATTTTTCTCTTTTTGTTTTGTTTCACTTTATTCGTTTTAGATCACTGTGTCCACTACTATGATCTTCGTAACACTAAACAGCCAATCATGGTATTCAAAGGACACCGAAAAGCAGTCTCTTATGCAAAGTTTGTGAGTGGTGAGGAAATTGTCTCTGCGTGAGTATTACTCTCCTGAGGTTAAGCTTCATACAGAGCTCTGTCATCATTTACCAGTTTTATAATGTCACCGTGGGTCGATACACTGTAGTATATGTACTTTTTCATAAATAGTAGATTTTTAAAATAATAGTCTAATTAAAATAAATGTATATTTTGGTTTGTATTGCTCACTTTTATATGCTCTTTGTGAATAAAACCCTGATGATGTTAGTTTTTAATGCACCCCCCCTTCAACATTTGAACTTCAGTTTGGATTTCAGCTACTGCTTCTCCTTAAGAAAAAAACAACATAGTTGTTGGAATTGAATGAGAAGTATTTTATCTATTAAAATCAATATGTTATTGTATATTTACACTGCAGTACAGTAGTATTATTTTTGGTTTAGGTAATATTTCGTTGATTCTAAGTTACTTGATTTCCCTATGGTTTCATGGTAAGTTTTAAATATGTTTTGAAAAGAAGTAAATATGGCTGCTTATACTTAACAAATATCCTTTGAGAAGACTTCTGCACTAGAGAATTATAATGAAAGCTTTTAGTTGTCTTTTATTTTGTTTGAGGGTTAACAAGATGTCAACCAGATAGATAAACCTCAGTTGCCAAAATATCGTTGACAAAGCGCTTCTTCTAATAGCCAGTCCCTTCTTTCTGTTAACGCATTTCATAGTTCTCTTTATTTTATTTTATTTATTTTTAAAAGATTTTATTTATTTGAAAGAGAGAGCACAAGCAGAGGGAGAGGGAGAAGCAGGGCCCGACACAGGGCTTCATCCCAGGACCCTGAGATCATGACCTGAGCTAAAGGCAGACACTTAACTGACTGAGCCACCTAGGTGCCCCCTCTTTATTTTATATTACCCTAACAAATACCCATTCTGTAATCTTAGGAGATTACTAATGCCAGTGCCTTGGCATTAATACTTGCTATCTCCCACCACATCTATTTCTATACTGGTTGCTCTAAATAATAAGTTGGTAATTTGAATTGATTTAGCAAGGTAATTTGAACTGAGTTACAAGGAAAAAAAGGTGAGAACTGAGTTTTCCAAGGGAAGATAATATGGGTAATTAGTTCACAAACTTAAATTAGTGTTAACCAGTCAAAATGTATCCCATCTTTAGGAATAATAATGGCAGTATATAACTAATTTTTTTTTTTAAAGATTTATTTATTTGACAGAGACAGAGAGAGAGGGAACACAAGCAGGGGGAGTGGGAGAGGGAGAAGCAGGCTTCCCGCTGAGCAGGGAGCCCAATGTGGGGCTCGATCCCAGGACCCTGGGATCATGACCTGAGCCGAAGGCAGACACTTAACGACTAAGCCACCCAGGTGCCCCTATAACTAAAATTTTATTCAGATTCAAATGTGCATGGTAGATTATATGGCAAAAATATTTTTCTTTAACTTCAGATTTATAAATGTTAAATCAGTCTGATTTCCAGTATTTGAAATATATGGATACTTAATATTATAAATTGGGAAACTTTAGTTGACCTTATTAATGTGAATATGTTGTTTGTATTTTCACCAGTCTCTTGTCCTTCTTAAGTTTTATAAATCATGATTTTTTTTCTTGAATATGTTTGAGGTTTAGAAGTTTTTAGAACAAATTTATCCACAAGTATATTTGAAAGTGTTCAAAAGTAATATTAAAATATACATATGTTGCCACAACCTCTGAATTCGTGACCAATAAAAATATATACACACCTAAAGAAATACTCAATGCAACATTGTTGGGAACAAAATTTTTTTCTTTTTTTTAAAGATTTTATTTATTTATTTGACAGAGAGAGACACAGCAAGAGAGGGAACACAAGCAGGGGGAGTGGGAGAGGGAGAAGCAGGCTTCCCGCTGAGCAGGGAGCCCGATGCGGGGCTCAATCCCAGGACCCTGGGATCATGACCTGAGCCAAAGGCAGACGCTTAACGACTGAGCCACCCAGGGCCTCGAGAAAAGAAATTTTAAACAACATAAATGTCTAGTGAAAAAAATGAGAAGCAATAGAGAAGTATTTAAAGAGCTTGGAGTTTGGTTTCTGAAATCAGACAATTTCAGTCTTGGATCTGCTGTTGACTAGCTGTGGTACCTTGAAAATGTCCTTAACCTTCTCATTTTCAGTTGCCTCATCTCTAAAGTGGAGCTAATAATAGTTATTATGTTGTGACTCTTTAAATGAAGTAATGATGTAAAGCATTCAGCATGGTGCCATATTCTGTGAATGTTACAGTAAGAGAAAAGATGATTTATTGTGTAGTCATTAACAAAAATATCAAAATGTGTTTATTTTACAGAAAAATTATAAACCAAATTATCGAATAAAGGATAACAATTTACAACCTAATGTACATGATATGATTGGATTTTTGTAACAGAAAGGAAAGCAAAAACATGGTGTCTTATTCAGGTTCTTTGTCTCTGTATGATAGGATTACCAACAATCTTTATATTCAATTAATTTTTGGTAAATAATTCCATTTGCATATTATTTCAGTAAATAAATTACATAGACCATTCCAGTCATTCATTATATTCCACCCCTGTAGATACAACTAAGCTGTCAAAATAGGTTAAATTTAGTATACCAATACAATTCAATATTTGAAAAGTAAATCAAATCAAGTGGCGTAGAGTGTATCCCTGAAATTAAACACAGCTCCCAATGGAATTTGTGTTATTTGATGATGGTGGTGTGATAGTATTGATGAGTAATGTTTATTAGTAAGCACTTCCTAGATGCCCAGGGACTATTGAAAGCATTTTAAAGGAATTAATTTAGTTTTCATATCTTATAGAATTTACCTAATTCAATAAATGTAGGAATCACTGTATTTCACATAACTAATGAACAAAATTGAGGCCGATGAGGTTATATAACTTTCCCAAGGTCAAAAGCAAATTAATGGTATACTGAGCATTGTTAACTCAGAAAATCTGGCTCCATAGTCTGCATACTAAACCATCAAACTGGATTGCCTCTAAATAGTAGGGATGAGTTTCATACCATGAAATCTTCATTGCATTCTCATTTTTTGTGTTTACCTCAGCTCAACAGACAGCCAGCTAAAGCTGTGGAATGTAGGGAAACCATACTGTCTACGTTCCTTCAAGGGTCACATCAATGAAAAAAACTTTGTAGGCCTTGCTTCCAATGGCGATTATATAGCTTGTGGTAAGTAAAACCATCTTTTCCTGGAACTTTTTAACAGGAATTTGTCCCTGAAATTGCATTCAACGGACATGGACTATATACCAAGTCAGGAAATGATCTGTACCTCTAGAAAGTAGCATATTGAAGTCTTCTGGGATTGTACTGGAGTAAGCATTAGTCCTTCTCTCCTTTACTGGGCGCAAACCCTGACTGCGTGAAATAGCATAAGATTGTTAAATATGTTTTGTAATTGTTCTCCATCGTAACATGATTTCTGTAGATATTATGTAAAAGAAAACATTAATTTCTGCTAATAATCCTAATTTCAGGGACATTATTTGTCTTCTTAAGCTTGATACTCATTTTCCCCTACAGAGTGTTCTCTTCATTAAGTAGTTTGTTTAGATGATCTGTTATTCTAGGGCTTTTGTTGTTGGTAATTTATACAAATTTAAATCAGAAGTAGAAAAATCAAATTAGGTAATGTTCAAATGCTTAATACACCTGATGCCTGAATATATGAACTTTCAACAGTTCTTTCAAATGAGACCTTTATTTAGTAAAGTTGTATATAATGTAAACCGTGCCAAAGCAAATGTCTTGCAATTATTCTACTTTGACAGACTACTCAAAAATATAGGTTTCCTTATAGGCCACTTATCTAATAGAGTAATGTCTTTATTGGGGAATGGGACATAAATTTTGTAGGTTATTAAAACCAGCCTTTGTAAGTGCTGTAACCTTTTTTTTCCCCTCTTAGAAATCTCTCTAAATGTCATGTAAGATTCATGCTATAATAACAAATTTCTGGTCTTCTTTAAACCTCTGCTATAAATGAGGTTTTTGCAGTAATTTTAACTTTACAGTTATCAATGTTGTTATATCATTTACCAGTTATTATTTCTTTAGATTAGTAAAGTGTCGCTTTTTTTCTATGAATCATTATTTCACATGATTCCCAAGAAATCCTGTGCTTTGGTCTTTCAGATTCAACCATAAAAGATTTGTCTTTGTGCTTAAACATTGAGTAATAATTACCTTATGAATATAATGTCCTAATTCTGAATTCTCCCGTTCTATAAAAATATTAAATTTTTTTTTTTTTTTCAGGAAGCGAGAACAACTCTCTTTACTTGTACTATAAAGGACTTTCTAAGACTTTGCTAACTTTTAAGTTTGATACAGTCAAAAGTGTTCTGGATAAAGACCGAAAAGAAGATGATACAAATGAATTTGTTAGTGCTGTGTGCTGGAGGGCATTGCCAGATGGGGTAAGTTTTCATGTCAGTTTTTTCACCTTGATGTCTCATATAACACTTTATGTTTATGTATTCACGTGTGAATTTTTTTAAGTTTAAAACATAAATTGATATGTGATACAAATTTTTTCTTCTGCTTAGTATTGCATCACCAAAGGAAACAGGCAATTTAGGTAGTAATTGAAATGTCACCAATGGAACAATGTCACACTGATATAATGTCTCTCCTGTGTACCCATAGCATCTTGTGCATACCTCTGTTTTAGCATTATCACATTGTCTATTTATATCTCTTCTATAGGACTGGAAATTTCTAGAGTACACACTGTGTCTCATTTTCCTTAATGATCATTTGCAGTATATACTCAATAAACATTTAACTGAACCTGATATTGTCTTAGCAAGAAAAAAATTTGATGTAGGTAAAAGAGAGTGCCCTATATGTATACCTAATTAAATACTATTTCAGGGAAGAATTGCTCTCTACAAAATGCATTTATACAAGAATATTTAAAAACATTTAATTTCTTAATAAGAAAGTAGTAGTTCTAGATTGCAAAAAAAAAAAGTTTTCTTAAACTTGTCACTTATTCCTACATTTTAAAGTATAAGATTTCTCATAAGTTATATGAAGAAATAGTTCTTTTTATTGGTAGTCACTAATGTCATCTTTTTGAAAAATAGCTCTTTAGGTGCTTACTTGGTTGGTTTTATTTTTGAACCAAAAAATTCTTCCTTGATGGGTACTTTCAGAATTCTGAGTTGCTGATACTATTTAACTTTAATTAGATATATCCCATTCCTATCTTATTTAAAGTTCTGTTAATCAGCTTCCAGTTTTGGCAATGGTCACTAGGTGATTTGTACTAACCTGTAAGTAGAACTAGAGAAGTTGGACCAACTATATTTATTTCAAAAACAACAACGGGAACTGTTTGAAAACATTGGAATGTACACAAGATAGAAAAGAATTACCAGCATAGGAATGTAAACCTGGGTTTGGAGTATGCTTTTCCTCTGGGAGCCTTTGCCACTCTTGGTAGAATGGCTGAGAGCACTTAGGACAGCTTCACAGGGGCACAGGGATTGGAATCTAGTGCTCACCACTATGTGGGTGAACTTATTTTGGTTTAGGGCCCCAAAAGGGCTGTAGTCTAGGGTAAACCAGTAGAAGGTAAACTCTCATAATGATTGCAACGCCAGATCATATCAGTCCTGAAATTAAAATTAAATGATCCTCTATTGCTAGTTAAAATTAAATCCTCTTTGAAAGAAGGTCTAAAAGAGATCATCTGGGAATTTTTTTTTTTTTAAATTGCAAATACAGTAACTCTTAAGACATAATAAAATCACAGACATAGGAAAAGGCAAGATGTTATAAATAAATTTAGCATAAGCAGTGGACAACAGAAACAAAATCACAGCAACTCTGGATATTGGAATTATCAGACATAGCTTAAAAATAACCATGCTGACAATTGATAAAAGACAAGATTGAAAATTTCAACTTGGAACTAAAGAACTATTTTAAAAATGAAAATCCTAGAAGTAAAAAATTATAATTACTAAAATTAAGATCTCAGTGGATGGATTGTGTGGAAGAAAAGACAGTTGAAAAGAATCAATGAACTTGTAGTAAGTTAGAAGAAAATATACAGAAGAAAGCATGGAGAGACAAATAGGATGAAAAAAATGCAGAAAAGAAAAAAAGGATGAAGTAAGAAAGTTTAATATATTCAATAGAAGACCTAAAAGGAGAGAAAAGAAGTAATACAACTGAAGCAAATATTAGAAAGAATTATGTTGAGAACTTTACAAAATTGATGAAAGACATCAAGGCAGAGATTCAATAAGCCCTTGTATCCCAAAGAATAAATCTACAATGTGAATAAATATTTAATATTATACTTGGACCATGAAGAGACTTAAGCTTGCCTGAAAATCTGACCTTGGGTCTGCCTTCTTACAGTACCACTTTGTGGAAATGTGCTGAATTAGGACAAACATGGAATGTTATTGTTAGCAGGCTAGTTCTCTCTTAAATTAACTATGAAACTCCATCTGTACTATTGCATCTGGACTTAGAGAACTGTGAGTTGGCATATTGACCTTACGTCTACCCAAAGTAAACAATATAAGACTGACAAGAAACCAAAGCACATCTCTGTATCTAGAACCTCATGCACCCTAACTGTCCTTGGCAACTGTGCGTACTCTTTGTGTGGGTTTAGGAGGGATGCAAGAAGCTATGCATGTATATAGTTGCTTGCCCTCCTGATGAGTTTGAAGATGTTGTGCATGACGAATTTCCTCTCCTGTATACCTCTATAAAGCTAACTAACCTAGTGCAAGACTAAAGCTAACTGTGTTTGGTCCTGTGACCCCTACTGGTGGTAGGACAGTCACACCTTGACACATCATAATAAAACTATTGAAAATAAAATGCAAAGGGAGATTATTAAAATAAGGCAGAGAAAAAGTCACTGTCTTCAGAAGATCAGCAGCTAGACTGACAGCCAACTTCTCATGAAGCAATAGAAACCAGAGTTTGTGGAACCAGATCTTCACTGTGCAAAGGGAAATACTTCCCGATCTAAATTTCTATATCCAGTGAAAATCTCTCAAAACAAAAGTAAAATGAAGACACTTTTAGATAAATAAATATGAGGAATCTGCCACCAGTAGACATACACCAAAGAAAACCTGAAAGGATATTTTTAAGGCAGAAGGAAAAGATGCAGAACCTAAAGATGAAGGTCACTGATGTAGAAAGGAATGGGAAAAGATGAAGGAATAGAAATGGTGAAAAGGAATAGAAGTCGTAATATGTAGTAAATCTAAATGCATATTGACTGTATAAAGCAGTGATGCCTTTTTGGATTTAATAAACACATAAAATTAAGTATTTGACAGTAATAACATAAGCCAGAAGGGTAAATGTGATTAACATGTTCTCAAGAATTTTCCTTGTCAGGGAAGGAGGTAAAAAAAGTAATTAATATTAGACTGAAGGGGATGCATATTGTAGTTTATAGGATAACCTTTCTAAAGTAGATTCTTAAAGTGTGCTACCTAGATCAACACATCAGTGTCACCTGGGAACTTGCTTTATTTCCCAATAAAAAGATTAAAAGAAAAGTTATGTAACTCACTTCATTATCAGTCCAGATTTATCTTAAGTTTGATTTTTATATAACAGTCACTTTGATTAGGCATTGAAAAATAACTTCATTTCCTTATTTTAGATGAGGCAGAAAGTGTGAGAGACTGTTGTTTATTTATTCTACAAATATTTATTATGTGCAGTCACAGTTCTAGATATGGAAGATAAACTTGAACACAACTGTAAGGAAAATTCTGGCCCTCTTAGGAGACTTAAAATTTTATGTGCCAGAGGAGAAGGAAAAACAAAATAAATAAGTTGTTATATCAGAAGGTGACGAGTGACTTGGAGAAAAACAAAGCAGGAGAGTGGGACAAGGAGTTCTGGAATAGGGAGTTGTAGTTTTCAGTGGTGGTGACAGAATCACCTACCTGAGTAGCTGAATTAGAGCAAAGACAAGGACGTAAGATGTAATCCATGTTTAAAGGTGCAAGGGTATTCCAGGTGGAGCAAACAGTTCAGAGGCCTTGAGGTAAGAAAGTGATTAGTGTTCAGGGAACAGAAAGCAGGCCAGTGTGGCTACACTACAGTGAACTAGGTGCAGAGTAGTCGATTTCAGAGTGGCGAAGAAGAACCATTTCAACAGAGCATTGTTTACCGTCCAGACTTTGGCTTTTACCGGGTGTGAGTTGGAGCCATTTTAAGATTTTGAACAAAGGAGTGATACAATGTGACTTCAATTTTTTAAAAATCGGTTTGGCTGTTTGAGAATAGATTATAAAGTGTCAAGAGTGGAAGCAGAAAGGCTGTTGCAATAATCCAGGTAAGATAACATAGTGGTATACCAGTGAGAACTAGTCAGATCCCATTTATTTTGAACATGGAACCAGTAAAATGCATGTGGAGAGTGAAAGAGAAAAGTCTAGGATGACACTGAGGATTTCCCCCCCATAACTTTAGGAGTGGAGTTGCTGGTAATTGAGAAGACTTCCAGAGGAAGTGTCTTAGAGGAGATAGGAGGTGACGTTTGGACTGGTTAAGTTTGAGTTGTACTTGCCTTCTAAGTGGATGTACCGAGTTTGGAGTTCACAGCAGATTGGGGCGCCAGAGATAGACATTGGTAGCTGTGAGCATGTGGTGTTTAAGCCAAGAAATTGGATGGTATCTCTGCAAGGGACTATAATTAGATATTAGAAGTCGTGTGAATACCATACTTAGGAGGGTGCCTTAGTGTTCAGTGATTGAAGTGAGGAGGAGGAATCAGCAAAGGCTGAAAAAGAGTCATTCTCTATATGGTAGAAAACTGGTGCCTGGGAAGCCGAGTGAAAAAGTTTTTCAAGGAGGCGGCGTTGATTGGCTTTGTCAAATGCTACTAATACAAGTAAGATGGGTAAAAAGAAAATGAAAGCAGTGGTATGAGAAAAGCTTGATTGTAGTGGTTTTAAGAAAGAAAGGGAAGGGAGAAGTTGGAGATAGTGAAATACAGGGAGTTGTTTTGGGGAGTAGTAAAACAATACCATGTTTAATCTCACCTAGATTACTTTGTTAAAATATGAAATCAATAACTGTCTCTAAAAAGGCCAAACATTTCATTGTCTTTCTGTCCTTTTTTCTATTCTACCTAATTTTGATCACAAGAAAGAGATCAATTTATTTATTTATTCTTGAAAATTTTTATTTATTTTATTTTTAAAAGATTTATTTATTTGAGAGAAAGAGGGAGAATGGGGGGAAGAGCAGAGGTAGAGAATCTCAAGCAGACTCTGTGCTGAGTGCAAGCCCTACTTAAGGCTCAATCTCAACATCCTGAGATCATGACCTGAGTGGAAACCAAGAATTGGATGCTTAACCAACTGAGCCACCAATGCACCCCATAAATTTAGAAAAATTTTAAATGTAATCAGCCAAA